TTTGTGTATTTCCTTTTTTGTAATATTTTTTTTGGTTTTCTTTTTAATTTGCGCGCCATTTTTTGCGCGCTTGCAGTTAATTTTTTATTGTTATTTTCATTGTGCGGCAACTGCTGCAGTGGCTGCAGAGTGTGCAACAGGGGCGGGGCTGGCTGAAACGGGTGCCGCCACTTGGTCAATGCCCGTTTTTTAGTCAACGCGTAAAATATGCTTAAATATTTTAAATTTAATCACACGCTTCGCTGGCCTCGGCAAATACGTCAATCCAATGCAAGCAAATAATGCGCGCGGGCGGACAAATGCAAGACAACCTCCCTACCCCCCCACCACACCCGAACCCTAGCAGCCCCTAACTCCAAACTCCCACAAACCCTGACTAAAACCATGTTGGGGGTAGCTGGCCCGAGGGGGGGGGGGGGGGGGGGGGGGGTGGTATTGACCATATATTAACGGCAATCAAAGCTGCACCAAATTGTTGTCAATAAATCAAAAAACAACATAACCCTGATTTGCTGCTAATATGACATATGAACTGTGGACTTAAAATCGGGGTCGGTTCGGAAATCAAATCTTTTTTTAATCTTTTTTTAATATCTCAGGTAAATATCGTCTGATTTTTAAATTATACTACACTTTTTTGGATTAGCACGGATCCCAACTACCAACTGGCCATGACAAATAAAAAATCGATGGGATTAAAATAGTTGTTGACCAAAAACCAATCAGTTTGTAAAGTCAACCATTTTTGATAACTTGTTGGAATATCTCGTCCAAAAACTGTTCGATTTTGGAATTTTTTACCATTTAGGACTCGTAAGGATCAGTTCTACCGATTCGCATGAAAATATGAAAATCTAAATTTTGACCCAGATTGATAAAAAGCAAGGGGTTACATTAAGTTTTTTTCTCAAAATCGGGGTCGGTTCGAAAATTAAAACTATTTTAATGATTTTAATACCGCTGCACCCATTAACAATGGGTAGAAAGGGTATAATGTTTTTGTGCAAATGTATGTAACAGGCAGAAGGAAGCATCCCCGACCAATAAAGTATATACATATATTCTTGATCAGCATCAATAGCCAAGTCAAGATCTAGCCATGTCCGTCTGTCTGTCCGTCCGTCCATCCGTCCGTCCGTATGTATGAACGCAAGAGGCTCGACTAGAGCCTCTTATTTTTATTTCTTTGCGACTGTTTAAGGCAGCTGCGAGATTCGAGTTCGTTCCAGTTACAGTTGCTGCAACAATAACAAAATTTTCTGCAAGAGTGTCAAATGGTAAGTGGCAAATGGCAAGTGGCATGTGGCATGATGAGAGCAACTCCTGATGCTAGCGACTTGTCGTTCATTAAAAGCAAACACTGCAGCTCCCAACGCCCAACAACAACAACTTTAGTTACAGTTACAGTTGCATAAATTCTTGGCTATATTAACTGTAGATGTCTGTGTGCTGGTGTGTGTGTGTGCACGTGGCATATTATACTGGCAAGTACCCCCGGAGCCAGTTGACTCCAATTTCGGTTTGTGGCCCAAGTGAAATTTATATGCCCAAATTTAATGAACTTGAAGCATTTGCACGTTGTCTGCCCTTGGCTAGCCGCCTTCCCTGTCTCTCTCTCTCTCTCTCTATCTCTCTCTTTTACATTGCCTATCAAGCACGCTTCCTTTCCTATCAGAACAATTCACTGGCGCCCAAATGCATATTGGCCTGCCCTTTTGCCACAGAGATGGGGTTGCGTGTGGGCGTGTGGTTGTGTGGGGAGGGGGGGGGGGGGTGTTGGGGTAGGGCTGTGCATCCTGTGGCTGCGACTGCACCCGCTGCCTGTGTCCTGATTTGGCACTGTGGCCATTTGCCCAAAATTGGCACTGCCAATGCATTTGCTAAGACATAAACTAAACCACTGCAAAACGCTCGAGTTTCGCTGTCTGTGCTGCCAGTCCCAAACAAACCAGGCCCCTAGAAGAGCTCTCACTACTTCTCTTAGATCCAGTGTGTGTGTGTGAGGGAAAACAGCATGAAAATCAAATTATAAATAAATTATGCAATTATAATTACACAAGGAAACTACTTGGGGCGAAACAACTTACACACACACACACATGCTCACTAAACGCCGGCAGCGACATTTGCTGTATGCGTGTGTGCGTTTGTGTGTGCTGGTGTGTGCCTGTGTGTGTGTGTAGAATCCTGACTGCTGCCTCAGCAACGTAGCTGCGAAAAATGCTGCAAGTTGTCATGTAAGGCGCGTGTCTGTCTGTCTCTGTGTGTGTGCGAAGTTGTCCTCGTCTCGTCTTTGTCCCTCTTCGAGTCCTTTTGTACCCAGTCAGAAATGGCACAAGTACAGGAAAATAATTACATTTTACGTGTTCCTATTAATCTTGCTGAGTTTTTAGTTTTAGTTTTAGTTGTTGCCCACTAATTCACTTTTTGTTCTTCGCTCTCTTTCTTTACATTTCACACACACTCTCTCCCTCTCTCTCTCTCTCGCCCCTGGCCACCTTTCGAATTCAATTTTCTTGTTTCAGTTTTGTTGCCCACTTTATACCCAAACTAGTCCGTACAAACCGGAAGCTATGCACCCTGAAACTTTATAAAGCATACTCTACTTAATTTTAAGCGCCTCTCGTATATGACAAAAATAGCATGAATATGAATGCCAATTCGGGTCTAAGTCGAGACGTATTATTGCAAGCTTAAAATAACGAAAGCTGTTTAAACTGAATTTGAACCGGCGACCTCTCGCTTGTTAGTCCGACGCTCAATTACCTAAGCCACACAGTCTCAGGCAAAGCACACTTTTCGATGTTTTTCATACAAACTTTGACCCCACTGGGAGTGTGACTTTTCCAAAAGGAAGCCTTTTAGCTTCTCAGCTCCGACGGGTGTGGGTGTGTAGTCAGTCAGGGCAGATATTCAAGAATATGCGGAAACAATAAAGTTGTTAATACTTATATCTATCCATGTGCTTCGGTATCTCTACATATATATTTAAAAAGAGGAATACGAATCTGTGCCAAGTTTTATCAAGAGAGTTTAGATTTTATAATATGAAGGCTCTATCATATTGTGATTTGTCATTATCTTTTCGCAAAAGCTTTCAGTATGTTTTAGTTTTTATAGTATAAAATAAACTATTTATTTTAATATGCTTTATGTTTTCGTATAGCTCTCGTTTCTCTCCAAATTTTTTGCGCTCAAATTCTGTAAACTGGGCGGATTACTTTATTAACTCTATGGGCTTTGAACTGCTTTGTTTTCAATTTGCTCTTCTTAAATAGTTTTAGTTTATTGGCCACAGAATAAATCAAATAAAAAAGAGGTAAAATAAATAACAGACTGACCGAACCCCTCTCTGTGTGGCTCGAGCGAAGGGGCGAGATCTGCTCTTAACGCTCTGTGTGGCGAGTTTTTGTTGCATGCAACTAATTATGCTTTTTGGCATTTGGTAGTTTGCTCTTTTGTCACTTAGCAACATCATAAGCCGCTTAACCCGCTAAAGCCACAAAATTGAGGCACCAGCTTGCAGCACACACTCACCCACACACACACACACACACATGCAGACACATACGCACTTACCCACGCACACGTAAATCTCATTAAAGTTAAGAGAACATGCTTCCAAATTAATTTCCGTAATTCTGCACTTGAGTTGGGGCGCTTTTCCATGTTGTTGTGTTGAAGAGTTTTTCTTTTTTTTTTTTTTTGTTGTATCAGGATAAAAGATAAAAACTATTACGTGTGTGTGTGTGTGCGTGTGTGTGGGGAGGGGTAATTTCGCCTTAAACAGGGCTGCATCTGCATTGGATGGCAAAAAATTGAGTTGCTTAAAAGTTATATTGAATGGCACCAACTACAATTGAATTTCGACGAATGCAAAGCAAACGAGCTGCTTAAACAGAAAAGCTCATTTGAACAAACAACTCGAGCATTGAATACACCTACTGATAAAACAGTTGTCCACCATAAGAGAACCCGAAATCGGACAGATAAAACTTATTAATAAAATATCTTTAATAAAGAACTTATTATTCTGTCCTAAATATGTCCTATCCCTATTAAATACTGTTAGTTCAAGTCGAACTCCTTACTAGTTCCAATAGATTCATGTTAAATGAAATATTAAAATTACGTTCTTAAAGTTTCATTTCGAAACGGGTTTCATTTGAAACTGTTAGCTTCAAACGTCTAAGGTCTATTACTTAAGCTCCTTTAGTCTTAACCCAAATTTGTTCAGCTACTTGAGCTTCAGCTATTCCGAATTAAGTAGTTAGTGGGAGCGATTAGTGCAACCTATTAGTGAAAGCCGCTTGGTATAAAACATTTATTGCTTCACCTTGGTAGACGCATTCTTTTCATCTTCGACTCTGCTTTGATGAGCTCACAATTTTATATAAGTGCTTTCAGCAGTTGAATTGCCTTCTCATAAACTTTGTATTGATGCTCGTAGGTGTTGATGCTCGTAGCCTAATCGTAATTATAATAGTTGGCATCTCTGGGCAATGTTTTTAATAATCTCCTCTTCAATAAACGGTTTCTGATGCGCTTTGGGTGAAGTTTATATGTTAACATATATTTGGATATGTGGAATATTAACGCGCATTCTTATTGCAGTTTTTATCCATTTTGAACTTCATTCTACTAATCCTCTCTTTAAATTATGTTTTCAACACTGACAAATGCATTTAAGCGTTCTCAAGATACAGCTCTGTCCAGTCGATTTTTTGATGACACGCGTCGATAAGAATAAAAGGTCTCGGATTCGATTAGGACAGTGTTGGATAAGTGTGATAAGTCAGCGTTGGATTCATTGCTGTTTCTTTTAAGTTTTATAAATTAATTCAAATGCACGGGGTGTAATAAAAAGTGATTTAATTGGAAATATCAATTATTATTGTGCGAGACCATGTGAATTCGTGAATGCCACTTAAATGACATTTCAAGTGTGAATAAACAATCTGAAATTTGGATCGCAGACAGCAGCACACTGGACAAGCTGGTCCTTAATGCATTCCTGGTACATCGCGCTGCAGTGCCTCAGTATCCGGTTGCTTGACAGTGCGTTCCGCGGAAATGTCCTATTTGACTCTGCTGAGAGGTCAAAGATGCCGTCTTGGGTCAACAAATTTGCTGATTCGTGCAATGTTCCTCGCTTTGGGCGTTAATTAAAATGTTATAAGCCGAACCGTACAATTAAGGCAGCCACGTAAGCTTTGTTTATTCCAAAAATTAAGGCACAAACGAGCTGGGCTAACTAGTTACTAATACTGATTGGTACAATCCATGGGCGGGTAGCCCTTTGTACTACACAATTATTGCTCTATCTTTGTCTCCCCATTCTTTTTGTCTTCGACTTGCCTTGCTTTACTTGGCTTACAAGCCTCCAGGTCCAATTCAAAGCTCTCACATCTCTCGATGAGACTCTGCAACAGTTGCGCAGCCCGGGCATCAACATCGTCATCATCGGGATTGGGTGAATAGGGCTTGTCGCAATATTGACGCTTGTAGGCCGCCAGCTCAGTCTTTAGCAGTTCGCATTTCTGGGCTATTCCGTCCAGGCGTTGCTGAAATGGTTGCCAGCTCTTGTTACGGCGCGGGTGGTAAACGTACTTCTCCAAATACTTGTATATCTCCGGATTGTTCTTCTTGCACATCTCGCACATGCGAAACTCCCTGATCTGGCCGCGAAAGTAGTGTGGCGGGAATGCATGATGGCACTCCGTGCAGGTGAGCACATAAAGATCCTGTACACGAAAAAAGTGTTAATTATACATGGGCATGGCGAAGCTACCGCATACTTACATAGTTCTCCATTTCGGACGGCTTTCGACTAGGCAGCTCCTTATGGACACGCTTCTTTATAGTTTTCCCTTTATTCACAGTTCGCGACATTTGGCGGAGGAAGTTCTCAAAAATGAAAAAAAAAAAAAATGAATGCTATTTTTATACAAGGCTTTTTTGTCGTTTGACAGCATATGTCAATAACAGTAAAAGATCTTGGTATCGATATATTCTAAGCAGTGTTCTCAAAGACCGATAAGTTGGTGTTTGAAAAAGAGCTTTTTATTGAACAGTTCTGATCTGTTCTGTTTCTATATCCGAATTCGCTTTTCTAACAATCCGACGTGCAACGCCGTCTTATTTCTACTATTTATTTATTTAGCAAGAGATAATAAAGCATTTTGTAAAATGCTTGCAAAAATACTTTCAATCTACTTTGGGGATAGTTTTAGTTAAGTACAGATAAAGACCGAGGTAACAGTATACAACAAGCAAATAAGAAGTATACGGATCAAAGGGGGAGTAAAAAGGTGTGCTAATGCTTATAACTAGTTTCCATCTGGAACTGTATTGCCAGGTCTACTACATAACCTAAATTTGCCAATCAATTTGTGGAATTGAGTCGGTTATATTCCGAAAAGTATGTAGACATATATCAAAAGTGAGCTAGAAGCTAGAAAAAATTAAGTAATACCGGTTAGTATAACCCATTAGTAAAAGCCCTTAGTAAGCATTTTATTTACAATTCTAATTGGTTTTCTCCCCCTTATCACCTAGAAGTAGCTCTGCCTTATAGAGCTCCTCAGCTCCTTTTCGAGGCCATAGCTTCTCCAAATATTTGCGTATCTATTCTATTAATGGGGAGTCTACGTGCAATGTTATCCACTTCAGGCAGCTTATGACTCATTAGCTCGATAGACATGATTCTGTGTTTTTATTTGTCTATTCACAGTTTTTGACTCATGTTTGGTGTACTTCTCAACACTAATATGATGTGTTTTATCGTTTGACAGCACGTTACAACGATAAAAGCTCGCTGAACGTTAATCGGTTCACATCGATAAAGTGTTGCGTTAGTGCTAAAAAGCCGTTAGGAGTTTGTCTTAAATATAATGCTGCACACTTATTAAAAATAAAATAAAATAATACTGGATGCTAATTAATTCAAAAAGGCAAATATAAGAATTATTTATTGCAGCTGGATTTGGGCTGGCGATTTTCCCTTGTTAGTTCGACGCTTAGACGTTTGCAAAACATGAATATACAATTTTCGTTGCAGTTGATAAGGTCGGACGTGCCTGCTTTCGGCCCAAAAAGAAGCTTCTCTTCGATATAACTTAAGTCGTTGTTTAATTCTTTAAGAAGCTTACGTTTTCTCGTCCTATACGACAAGGTGGCAGAGAGTAAGTTTCCCTGAGCAAACAACGTTTTTCACTGCACAAGCACTATAGTACATTATTATTAAGTACATTGCATTAAAATTTCTGCCCCATACGGGCTATAAAGTTGTTAAGTTAAAGAAAATCGGGTTTTAACGGAAATGTTAAATTGGGTCAGCTATAAAGGCTTTATTTATTTGCTTCGTGTAAAACATTCACAGCTCCATCTTAATCTCCGCATTTTTTTCGCCTTCGACCGGCCTGGCCTTGTAGAGGTCGTAGGACCCCAGTTCCTTATCGACGATCTCACACTTATAGATCAGACTTTTTAATAGTTGCACAGCCTTTGCATTCACGTCGTGATTGTCTAATTTGGATGAAGCTGGTTTGTTGCCATATTGATGATTGTGGGCCAACAGCTTAATCTTAAGAAGTTCGCATTTTTGGATTATCTTCTTCAGGCGTCTCTGGTATGGATGACAGTCATGGATATGCTTCGGGTGATACACATACTTATCCAAATATTTGCATATTTCCGGGTTATTCTGCTTGCACATCTTGCACATGCGAAACTCCCTGATCTGGCCACGAAAGTAGCGGGGCGGAAAAGCTTGATGACATTCCGTGCAGGTGAGCACATAAAGATCCTTGATTGGGAAAATCTCTAGCGTATATATGCGCTTGCCAAAAATGCGGTACACTTACTCGTTTATCCTTTTCAGACGTTTGTCTTAACAACTTTTTATGGAATTGCCTTTTTTTATTTTTTTGTCTTTTCATTGTTCGTGACATTTAGATAACGATATCTAAAAGACTGACACAATTAAATGCTCTTGATATACAAAGATTTTGTACCGATGTCCTGGACAGCATCGACACGTGCTGTCAGTTTAGAATCTCTGAATCGATAATCGGTAAAAACAGTGCTGGATAAGTGCGATTAGGTGGTTTGGATTTAAGATTGGCAGCGGAATGGTTTATAGTGTATGCTCTGCAGTCTAACTTATACATAGGTGCCCTTATAAATTATATATATATATACATATATACGATTAATGGTAATGATAAGGATATAATCGACTGAACCGTGTTATTCACGGGTGACTTTCTCTCGGTCTTTATCCCTCTCTTCCTCTTCGCAAGACGGAATCTGTAACCCTTGCCTGTGTATCTGTCCTGAGCCCATATCCCAGAACAGAAACATTCTTTGGAACAAATTGTATTTGAGTTCACTTTTAAGTTAACGTATTAGTAATTTATTCCAAGGAGTAGTGCACATATTTATAGAATTTAACTGGGCCAGTAAAATCTATGAGTATAACTCATTAGTGAAAATGAATATAAGATATTTATTGCTCCATGGATACCAAATCCAAATTCTTTTCATCTTCGACTGTCTCTGCTTTGATGAGCCTATAGGCATTCAGTTCCTTTTTGAGTACCCCAGGCGCAGCGCAGGCCGTCAGCTTTATTATAATTAGTTGGCATTTCGCGTTAATATTCGCAATAATCTCCTTTTCAATAAACGCCGGTTCTTGATGCGCTGCGGGTTTTATATAAGTAGGTACTTCAACAAATATTTGCTTTTGTGGAATATTTATTCACATTCCTACAATGCGGTAGACTTACGCTGTTATCCATTTTGAACGTTTTGCGACTAATTAGCTTTTTCAAAAAAAAACCCCTTTATAACTTTTGTCAATTTACAGTTTGTGACACTCGGTTGAAAATGTTTTCAACACTGGCGAAGTCCAGTGCTCCTTAAATACAACACCATGCTATCGACTTTCGACAGCAAGTGTCGATAACAATAAAAGCCTTTTTCGATTTTCGCTGAAAGCAGTGTGGGATAAGTGCGATTGGGCGGTTAAGAACAAAAGTATAAACTATTATAGTCTGAGAATTAAAAATTTAACGAAAAGAGCATCAAAAATATGTATTTAGCCACTTACCATGGGCAAATCTGGTAAAATATTTCTTGCAGTATTTCGATGACCTCTTCTGTTGCTCACAAGACGTCGTCCTAATCGAGTATCTATACATTTTATGGGTCGGAGCTGGTTTCTTCCGCCTGTTACATACACTTTTACAAAAACATGTTGCCCTTTTTACCCATTTTCAACGGATTTGGAAAATAATAAAAAAACTGCAGCTGTAATAATCGATAGCATAGTCAATGAAATAAAAAATAAAGCCTAGGCTCATATTCCTCACTAAAAATAAGTGCGAGCAAAGACTCCCTGTGTAAATGCGGTCTATAAAAGATAGTGCGGCAATACCTTAATGCGTTTTACAGCACTGCTTGGAAACGTTAATGCAACACCCATTGCTCCATTATGAGTAGCTGGTCACTCAGCACAGCAAGCATAGTTTAACAAACGCAAAAGGGGAAGAAATAAAGAGAGTGCATTCTAAGCACACACACACACCAGTTGTTTGGCCATTGCAGCATTTTTGGCTAACGCATTCAGCGTGTGCGATGCTCCGCACTGTTTTCAATTTAGTTGTGCACAACGAAGCAGCAGTCGGAGCCAACACCTGCCATTTGCCGTTAGACAATCCAGCGCAGTGGCGTCGAAAGACGAGGCGTGCGTGGTGAGGACGATGGCAGCGAGGGAGTTGGATTTAGCTGCCAGTGCTGGACACGGGCCTGCTGCTGGGACAACCTGGTCGTCTGGCTATTTCCTCAGCCCCGCTAGTCGCTGCCTGTGCGGCTAGTACCTCGTGCTTTGGCCCATTGGTGGCGCCACTCAATTCAAATGAATCCCTGTTTGGCTTTCACTTGACAATGGAGACACACACACAGACGCACGCATACCCTGAGAGAGATCTCTCGCTGTGTGTGCGAGTCAGTGAACTTAATTTGGTCACACACAATTGATTCTTTTTATGGGCACACTCTTTCATACACACACGTACACACCCCAACCACACACAGAGACACACACACATTAAGCTGTTATTGTTGTGGCAGAGAGTACACTGTACACTGATAAAAAGAAACAACATATTTATATCTCCTTCTTCTGTTACCTTAATTCATCCACAGTTTCAAAAGCACTTATTTTATTAAAATGATTCAAGTCACAGTTTGCGAGCTTCAGCTAACAGTTTGAGAATCGCTGCATTGCAGTCGCAGTTCCAATGATACATATAACGATATATATTCGCATCCAATGTGTTATGCGATAGTTTCAGAATTACGGTTTTAGAGTCACAGATATTAATTTAGTTTAAGAGTCACTGCTTGTAGACTCACAATACTTGGGATTAATTTTCAATTCAGCTTGCCATTGCAGACCGGCTCTTGCCGGAAACTTGGTGCAGTCCATTTCACAGTCGACTAATTCCGATCACTATGTTCTCATATATTAAGTTCTCTCACTGTAGCAGCAGCTCCAGTTAGGAGCCAGTAGCCAGCAGCTAAAACTAACAGCAGCAGCACACAACAGCAGGTGCTGAGGCCATGCCGCTGACGACGTTTTGTTACCTTGTGCAGAACTCGTTTTGTAATTTGTGGCTGAAACAATGCAATTAAGATGACATTAAGTGAAGTTCGCCAGCCCCCATCCGCCCCAAAGGCCACCTCCTAGTATATCTGCGGCAGCAGCAGCAGCAGCAACTCTAGCTCCAGCCTGGAGCCCGAGCTCCATTTGCATTTGCGGCCAACATCGCATTTCATCAGTCGCACCAGCTCACCGCAGGACCATTCCATTGTCTTCGAGTGGGAGTGTGAGTTGAATATGTGTGCGTCTCTGTACGTGTGTGCTGTGGTAATGACATCAAAGAGGCCATTCCTGTGGCCAATTTGACAAAATGCTTCTGCATTTTGCAGCCGCCGCTTGACATCGATTTTGAGCTATTCCATATTTAAATAACTTGTTGTTAAATCAAACAAAGGAGAATCCTAAGTGAATCTTCAATATAGAAACTGGAGCGCAAGTAAAGTATAACGAGAAATAGTGTGGTTAACAACACTTTAAATTCATGCTGAGTACATTTTTCCTCATAGTTGAGAGCTTTGGTATTTTTATACTTCAACTCAAAGAATTACTTTGCATTATTTACACATCTGAATGGCAGGCAGTCCCGCTGGCTGTAAAGATGAAGGCCTCTCGCGTAAAGGAACGTTCTATTAGATGTGGTTGGGTCTGGTTCAAGCCAGGACGGAACTATTTTATTCATTTATTTCAATTTCAGTACGCAATTGGATAACAAACTGCCGGGTTTGAGCAGCAGACATAAGTGACAAGCGATTTGTGTTATGCTATTTATTTTTACATGGGGAGAACCCAACATGTCCGACGTATATGATTTATTGTATTTCAGTTTGAGCCGAACGTTCTAAGATGAATAAAATTACTTTGAATTGGATGGGCTTCATATTTCCGATTTCCGTCTATTTGCCATCAATTTCAATGGACTTTGTAAAAACTTCCTTCTAGTTACAAATTGAGTCCTGAAAGGAAAGTGCTCGGAAAAATGGATGGACTTAATTACTTAGTTAATCAACGATGGAATAGGTTAATCAGTCAGTCATTCGAGTGTTCGCTAAGTTAGTCAATCATTCAATAGGTCAGTCAGTGACTCAAGTAGTTAATCAGTGAGTGAGTCAATTCCTCAATTAGTCGGTCAGAAATCAGTCAGTCAATCATTCAACTGGTCAGTCAGCCACTCACATAGTCAATCAGCTAGTCAATGGTTAGTAAGTTAATCAGTCAGTCAATCATTCAACTGGTCAGTCAGTCAATTAGCTAATCAATCAGTCAGCTTATTTTTCAACAAGTCAGTCAATCACGAAGTTAGTCAGTCATTCTGCTAGTCAATCATTCAATTGGTCAATCAGTGACTTAAATATTCAACCGGTTGGTCAATTAGTGAGTTGGTCGGTCAATCATTCATTTAGTATATCAATCACATCAGTTACTTTTACAAAAAATATATTTCAGGCTTAAATTTAACTTCTAATTTTCTCATTTTTTAATGTATTTATAAGAAATCAGACTGTGGCCCTTTTGGCCTCAATGTTAAGCGGCCTTCTCGAAGTATTTGAGGTTGAGCCTTGAATCCATTTGCCCATCAACCGCATTTGTTGGGTGGCAATTGCGTTTTGAGCGTTTGCTAGTGACCACCTCCTAGTTACTGCCTTTCGCCCGCTCCACCCACTGAAAAACTTAAGCAGGTTGTGAGCTTGGCTCAAAAACATTCCGTACCATTCCGTGCATAGTATGACACAAAGATATTGCTGCGGATAGCAAAAAAGATTGTGAATTGTTAAACACACACACACACAGACACACACACACACACACACACACACTTGCCAGCATGTTGTCTGGCTGTAGGCGCGAAAGAGGACCGAGTGCAGGGGCAGGCGTGGCACGTTGTTTCTTGGCACGCACAAAAGCATGTGGGCGCCTCCTGTTCCATCTCCTGTGGCCTCTGTATGCTTTTGGCTTTTGTAAGTGGTGCAAAATGGTGAGGGGGGGGGGGGGGTGTACTGTGCTGCATGTGACAAAGGCAGCTGCCTTTTGTTTGACTAGCTCGCCCTTGGCACCCACCTCCCAGCCAAGCCATGCATGCGTGTGTGTGTATGTGAACTGAGGCATTCAAATAATTAAACTCATCAAGTTGCCGTATGAGCATTTCACGCAGTCCCCCAACACCAACCCGTCCAGCCACCCGCTGCCCTGTCTTCCTCTTCATGGTTTTAGTCTAATCTTCATTGTTTTCTTTTGCTGAGCACAAAAGCCGAGCACCGAGCATCGAGCACCGAGAAGCAGACACCGAGTCGAGAGCGGAGCGGCGACCTGTCCTCGAGCACAGCCGCAGCGGCAGCGGCGACCACACATCAGCGTGCCGCACATCCTGCCTGTACACACACACACGCACACACAGACACACTCTCCCTGTGTGGGCACGCATAATCCTTGATCTTTTGTTAGTTGTTTGCTCAACTTTTGCTTGCTGTTTGTTTGCCAGCGACAGAGGTTCTGTCAGCTGCCTGCCGCTTACTCCAACTGTCGCAGCCTTGCGCCTGGCTGCCCAGCTCCCTTTGCCGTCGCCCTCTCCTGTCGGTTGTCAGGCCTGTCTCTTTAGCTATCTTTCTAAATTATTAATTAAAGTATTTAACAAATATGCAAAAGTTTGCCAAGAGCACCGGCAGCCACATCACAAAATCCTCAGCCTTGCCCTGCCCCCTCTTCCAGCATAATCTCCAGCCTAATCCCGCAGCGCCTTGGCCCTTGACGCTGGTGTCACGCCTTCCCGGCAAGCGCCATTGTTACGTTCCCTTCCCCAGCCTTAGTTGAGTTCATTCAGCAGCAAATTGTCGACTAGTTAATAATGTGGCCAGCACGCACGCACACACACAGGCTCACATCCACACACTCATTGTATGTGTCTCTGTCATGTTGACTGTTGACATCTTTTTGATGTTTCATTGCCGCATCAAAGAAATTTGGCAAATAGTTCGGCTAAGCGTTGAGCTCGTGTCACGAGTCTTAACTGTCCGGACGGCCAGCAGTTCAAGTGGCTATGTCCTTGCAGAGGTCCATAAAGCTTCTGCTTTAATGCCAGCCTGGCGCAGCACTTTCTTCTACACAATACTTTGACTCGTGGCTATTCCGTCTATTTTGACTGAGATGGCTCAAATCGAGCCGAGATTGGACCTGATTTCTAGCTTGTTTACAACACCTACTTCCTTTAGGAGGACGGTTTCTATACGGACCCTCGCTGA